GATAAGAATTCACGTAAATGTGAAAAGAATAGAGAATTCTAAATATTTAGAAAAATGTTGGACGTGTTCAAAACACCGTCCAAAGGACTCTTGAAGTGATTTTAAGGAATTTTGGAAGATTGATTTAGGCAAAGCAAACATGGAAGGCATGAAACTTGCGAAGGCTCCGATTTTTCAGAATTTTTAAAGGATCTTACGACTATTTTGGAAGATTTCTTACAATTTCTAAAGGATTTTGGAACCGTGTTGTAAAAATTCTGATACTTGAAACGCTGATACTTGAAAATTCTGAAACGCTGTCGTTTACATAATACGAGGATAATCACTGCACTGAACAGCAACGATATAAAAAGAATCTACGTAAATCTAAGAGTAAAAGATCGTGAGTATTTCCTTTAAATAGCCTACGGAAGCAAGTACGCACGTTTGGAGATTTCTACCATGTAGGAAAGATGATAAAATAACTGGAGGTTCTCAGGTAGTCGGTAGTTAGTCCTTTAGCAAGCAACGCCTCCTTATTGCTTTACTTATTAACGATCGCACGTGTGCAATTGCCGGAAATTCCAAGGAAACGACGGCTTCCAGTAAAATACCGTTTGGAGAAAGCGTTTAATAGGACGCGTAGAACCCGCATCGGAATCTGTTCACCAGATGTTGTCGTGTTTTCCATCGGTCGGCCAGTGAAATTCGACTTTGACCAGCTTCCTAGAAACTGACGTTTCCATTGTTGCGTGGAAACCTTAATGGAATTCGGTAATAGAGGCGCAGGCTAACGAAACGTATTCATTAAGGATTACTTTCCATGTAGCTGAATTTTGGAATTTTTGATATTTTTATATCGTCGTGTTCTTTGTTATTTAATTTATTATTGTAATAAACATTAAATATCTGGCGCTGTTGGCCAAGCATAGTTCGATCGTACTAAATGTAAATTTAATGGTTTCCTCTCATTTTTAGTCTATTATTATGTTTAATATTAATTTTACATAGTTGATCAAGCTTACCCATTTCAATTCAGTTAGTTTTTAGAACAAAAGCGAATTTTAGACTGAATTTTGGAGTTTTTGATATTTTTATATCGCCGTGTTCTTTGTTATTTAATTTATTATTGTAATAAACATTAAATTTCTGGCGTTGTTGGCCAACCATCATATTGATGTAAATTTAATGGTTATCATTATGTTCAATATTAATTTTATATAGTTGATCAAGCTTGTCCATTTTAGTTTAGTTAGATTTTAGAGCAAAGGCGAATTTTAGACTGAATTTTGGAGTTTTTGATATATTTATATCGCCGTGTTCTTTGTTATTTAATTTATTATTGTAATAAACATTAAATTTCTGGCCCTGTTGGCCAACGATCATATTGATGTGAATTTAATGGTTTCATCTCATTTTTAACCTATCATTATGTTTAATATTAATTTTATATCGTTGATCAAGCTTGCCAATTTTAATTCAGTTAGATTTTACATTCAATTTCAAAGGAACCTAAGCACTCGAGGGAAAAAGTTACGAGTTTTTGATGAATTATATTTCATCTTCCGCAGTCTTTGTTAACGCTTGTATATTCTTCACAAGTTATTATCTCCGATAGAACGAGATTGTAAGTTTTAAATAAGACAATCTTCGATTGAAAATGCGAACTTCAATTCAGAGAAATTGTAGCCTAGAAATTTAGATCGACAGAATGGAGAACGAAGCCCGAAATATCGAAATATAGAGATTCAAGCGGAATTTCAAACTCTAAATTGTAACATTCAAATGTACGAAGTGGACATAATCGAAGTAAACGTTCAGATTTGGAGGTCTGAGTGTAAAAATTCAAATTTGCTTTCGATCTCGATCGTCGACGCGATAATTCGTCGAAACGTCGAGATAATAAGTGACGAGACCCAAACTGATTCGAGTTAAACAAATACAAAAGTAAATGTGAAATTTTCTGCAGCGATTCATATCTAGTAAAATGAATTTTTATTTTCCACAAGTTAACTCAACGATATTGCGTATAATTTCTCATCAATCAAGATACGTGCTACATACATATGCTCCATGGTTACGATAAGATCATCGACAAGATTAGACGTTATTTAATCGATCGATTTCGTCGTGTTATTTACTTTTAATGCTACTTAGACGTTAAACATAATTTTATGAAACTGGAGATTCGAGTTGAGATTTGGTTAATGACCTTCTGCTTATAATTTTCAAAATCGTATCTGTGATGGTATATGAAATAAATATGATCCATAAATCTTCTTCAAATTCGGATTAATTAATTTAGAATTTCGCATGATTTATAATTTCGAGAATCCCTGGAAATTGAACTCTCTATACTTTCACGTTTCGTAAAAAATTTCGGATAATTGTAATGTTTTCCATTGGTTCTATCGATCGAACAGTTGTCTAGAAAAACGAGACGATGTTGAGGATATTTTTTCAAGTGCAGAAAAATCCCCGTGACTTTGCCATAGCTCGTAAATGGAATTTCTCGCCAACCTCTCTAAAAAAGACTTTGTCTTTTATTTTCGTCTGCCTTCTATCCCCTTTTTACGTTTTAAAAATACTCTATTCGCTCATGAATCGTCTGTCTAGCCGTCACAGACTCCTCTGAACCTCTGAAACGTCAGAAGCTTCGAACCATTCGATTTTCAATCTCCAAATCAGCTCTTCGTTCTTTCATGAACGAACAACGTTTTCCTTCTTTTTTTTCCTTTTTACTTTTCTATTTTAATTTCACAAACAGAAGATAACGTAAACTGATAGAAAAATCTCATTCGATCGATCCATGTTTCCAGTGAGAATGGCGATTATTCGTGAGTTGTATCGTCAACTGCTAGACGTAAAGCAGAACGTAAATTCGAAGGAGAATACATTTTTCTATGGCAATGCTGCGTTAATAAAATTGTAGGCCATAATTCCTGGTATGGGCTAGGAATTACGTGACTGGAAAAGAGCCAGGATTCAAGATGGACAAAGAGTCACATACGCTTATGGGTTCGGTTTCGACACGTTGATTTCTCAAAATTCCACCACGTAGCATATGGCTAAGGCCTGTACCTCTTTCACCGCGTTCCAACGACCGAAAAAAGTCCGATGACGGAGGTACGAGCAGTCGAAGAGCACTCGTTGAAAGAAAAGCTCGCAATAATGGCTAACCTTTGTTCTTCCACCAGTCTTTTCTCCTTCTTTTTTTCCTTTTTGTCCAACGTTTGGGACAACTGTGCCGAGTGTTTAGGGTGAATTTTTCAGGGCAATTCTTTCCAATCTTTTCTTCGATAGAATACATCCGTACACCCCTTTTTTTTTTTTTTTTTTAAAGAAA